CCTCCCCGATGCAGACAGCACAGGGGGAACATCAGAAATCCCTGCCACAGTCTCGCTGCCAAGGGCCTGCTCCATCCCTTCTTGGCTGCACTCCTCATCATTACCCATTCCTGCGCTCCTTCATTCATTCAACAAACATTTGCTGAGAGCTAAGTATGTGCCAGGCACTGTTCTAGGCACTGGAGCTACATAAAGGGACATAACAGACGGAAATTCTGGCCCTCATAGGGTCATGTTCTGGAGGGTGAGTCTGAAACTAAACGAAAAACAGCATCTAAAGCATGATGGACAGTGAAATAGCCATAAATTGCGGTGGGGGTGGAGGAAGAACAGGATAAAATGATGGGCGATCCTTGGCTAGGTGGGGTGGGAAGGATGGGAGCTATGCCTCAATTTAAACAGTGAAGCCAGGATCAGTGACAAGATGAATCTGAGCAAAGACTTACCGTGCAGAAGGAAAAGCATTCGGAGCAGAGGGAACAGAATGTGCAAAGACCCTGAGGTGGGAACCTGTGTAGAAGGTGCCTCCAGGAGGTCGGTGTCACTGCTGAGGAGGAGAAAGGGGCAGAGGCGTTAGGGCAGATGGTTGTGAGGGCCACGTGGGCCTCTATCAAGACAGGAGAAGTCACTGGAGGACTGACTGCTGCATCAGGACTGGACGTTTTGGGGGGTGAGAGGGAAAGCCTTGAGGGCTCTATGGGGCCGCTCAGATCCAGCATGTGTTCATGAAAAACTGTTTCAAGCTGTCGCCGGCTTTGGGGATCACCTTTCCTTTCCCCAGCCTCCCCCACCCCTAAGCGGTGACCGAAGACGTTACACCATGAATTCTGAGCATCTGGGGCCTCCTCATGGCTTACAACAGCAGCTGATGCAGCAGGTGCGCGTTTTAGGCCTGGAAAGGAACGTGGTGATAAGAACACCTACTTAAATTAAGGCTTGACAAAGCCTCACCAGTGGCATTGGCTTCTGGCCCTGGGTCACTGGGACTGGCCTGGTGCCTCCAAGGGCAGGTCGCGGGGAGTGATGGCCCCACGCAGAGCTCCCTCTCGTTGTCCCCCTGTGCTGTGGGACCTCTGGGCAGGCCAGCAGCCCCGGCTGAGGACACCCCGCACTGACAGCCAGGTTTCTCCCTGGAGCCTTGAAGCTGAGGGCGATCCTTGGGAAGCAGCCGCTGGACTGGCCAGGCCTGGGCTGGATGGGAAGGGGGGTGGGCTGTGGACAGGGCGGCTGCCTCCCATCAGGCCTATTCATAGCCTGGGCTCTACTTCCCAGGCGCGTAGCAGTGCTGACTCTGGCCGTGAGCCACTTGGGGGCCTCCCCAGGGTCTCCCCTCCCCACCATCCCCGCCGCCCCCCTCCCCCCCAAGGGATCTCACCTTGTGCGCCCTCTCCAGCTTCCTCCGTCTCTGCGAGCTGGGGAGTCCACACGGTGGGGAGTTCTTCCTCAAGGCAAAGACTTGGCTGTTCTCACTGAGACATGTTCCCAGGGTCTCCTCATGGGCTCATGACCTCATCAGAGCTGAAATGTCCTTTCTTGGATCTTTGGATCTTGAGATTACCTCTTGGCCAGGCCCCCCCAGGGGTGCTGGGGTCTCAGCCAGTCACATGCTGGTAAACACTTAACCAGGCAGCTCCTGGAACCAAAGCCCGATCTGACGCATTTGCCGGTTTCTGGGGCATAAACACTCCCAGAGCCAACTTCTTGGCTGTTAAGGTGACGCCACAGAACACGGAGCTGGAATAAGGTGGCCCCAGCGGGCTCCCATGAGATGGTGGGAGCCGGCTGCAGCGCAGCCCCGGTCCCCCTCCCACCCACCCCCCAAGGTCCACCTCTCCAGCTTCTAAGATAGGCAGCGGGTGGGATCGCCTTGAACTCTGTGCAAGTCATCTTCTTATGGGTAAGTGCATAAGTCGCTGAAAGTGGCTACTCACAGGCCAGCCAGGCCTTTGGAAACTCTGGGATGATGGGGAAGGGGGGCATCTTCCATCACGGAGCTGGGAGGGGTCGGGGAGGGACACCGCTCCGCGGGCAGGCCCAGCACAGAACTGAGAAAAGTCGGAAGGAGGAGAAGACACCCATCCCTTCACTCATGACCGCCTCCACCAAGACCTTGGTGTATTTCCTCCCCCTCTTCGCCTTCCGTGGAGTGTTTTGGGTTTTGCCCGTTTTTTTTTGTTTTGTTTTTTTTTTTAAGATTTTATTTCTTTATTTGACAGAGAGAGACACAGCAAGAGAGGGAACACAAGCAGGGGGAGTGGGAGAGGGAGAAGCAGGCCTCCTGAGGAGCAGGGAGCCCGACGCAGGGCTCGATCCCAGGACCCCGGGATCATGACCTGAGCCGAAGGCAGATGCTAACGACTGAGCCACCCAGGCGCCCCGGTTTTGCCCGTTCTGGATGGTGTAGTGTGTGCAGGGTTGTGCTCTGTCTTCTGATCTTCACCAGACGACGCGAGCACCTTCCCGTGTTTCGGTGCCCGCTTCCCCAACAAGCCTCATACAGGTGCAGCCGCTTGGGAAAACAGCCTGGTGGTTTCTTAAAAAGTCAAACACGACGTGACCCCACGGCTTAGCAGTGCCACGCCCAGGGATCCACCTAGGAGAAATGGAAGCGTATGGCCCACAAAGCTTTATGGGACCGTTCAGGGCAGCGCTTCTCATCGGGAACCCCATAAACAAGACACGGGCTATGCGTGCGATGGCACGTCAGTTAGCAACAGAGAGGAATCAAGTGCTCCCATACACAGCCATGTGGATGAGCCTCAAACACGGTCTGCAAAGTGGGAGAAGCCAGACACAAAAGATCGCAGATGCTAGGATCCCATTTATAGCCAATGTCCAGAAAAAGCAATCGATAGCAATAGACAGAGATTTAGTGGTGGCCCGGTGCCGAGGGAGGGAACAGCTAGGGGCTGCAAATGGTCTGGAAGGGTCTTCTTGGGGTGATGGGATTGTGGTCTTGGTTGCAAAACTCTGTAAACTCATCTAAGGACGTCACGCTGTATGCTTACAAATGGGCGGATCTTACGGCTGGCCTTGGAAATGATAGCTCCGTGGAGCTGTTTCAGAATGTTTCCTAAATACCGTTCTTGATGGATTCATAGTGTTCCTTCAAGTTAGGTGGGCTGGGATTTATTTGACTTTGTCTAGTTACCACACACCGGGGTTGTGTCTCTGGTTTGGGTGCTATAAGGGACCCCGTGATAAAAGTTTCTGTTTTAGGATCACTTCCTCAAACTTGTTTTCCAGAAGAGGCCTTTCTAGGGCAAAAGTTACGAACGTTTGTCAAGACTTTCAATTTGATGCTGGGGGTGTTGGGGGAGGTTGAGTTGGGGGGTTCTTTTCTAATTTTTTTTGTACGTTGGGAACAGTGACAATAAATGAGCCCCCCCTTTTTTTTTTAAAGATTTTATTTATTTATTTGACAGAGAGAGAGAGAGCGAGAGCAGGAACACAAGCAGGGGGAGTGGGAGAGGGAGAAGCAGGCTCCCCGCCGAGCAGGGAGCCCAATGTGGGGCTCGATCCCAGGGCCCTGGGATCATGACCTGAGCCGAAGGCAGACGCTTAACGACTGAGCCACCCAGGCGCCCTAAATGAGCCCGCTTTATTAAAAAAAAGACTCTCAGGATGATGCTAAACATGCTAAATCGTTTTCCCCCCCCAAAGCACTGGGCCAATGAATAGTTTTGGTTCCTGTCTTTTCCTAATGCGTGGTGTCAAATTGTGGTGTCAACTACCCCCTCACAAAAGAAAACCACGCTATTCTGTGTTATCAAAGTCAGGACAGTGGCTGTCCTCTGGGTGACAGTAACTTAAGAAGGGGATGTGAGGGAGGGTCGGGGGGCTGGAATGTTTTGTTTATTTTTTTTATTTTTTATTTTTTAAAGATTCTATTTATTTATTCATGAGAGACAGAGAGAGAGAGAGAGA